GCGAGTGAGTGAGGGTAGAAAAAGCTAGATGGTATAAAGTGAGAATTTCATGCAAGCATGATTGGAAACAATAGGCTGGGTGAGATTAGAATAAACAGCCTAAACAAGTAAACAGGAAGGCCAAAAATGAACTATATAAATAAACATATATATATATATATATAATATATATATGTATATATAATAATAATAAATGTTGATATTTATGTGATTGATTGATCTTGTTCAGTACCATTACATACAAAAAATACAAAGCAAACAGAAACAGGGAAGACAAAGACAAGATACTAAGGTTGACCCAAGAAAGGTTAAAAGAAACCTTATTTCCGTTGGGATCCTTACATTTACAAGTGAATACAAAACACTGAAGTAAAAAACAGCAGGATAAAAAACTATAAAAACATTGCAAAGGAGTGTAAAAATTCAATTAGAAAGAATAAATCCATAAAAAAGTTCGACAAGTTTAAACTTTAAAAGCTTTAAGATTAACAGAATTAAACAAGTTAAACATGTTTAAGATTTTATAAATTGAAAAGAGTTACAAGTTTATTTTTAATATTAAAATGTCAAAAAAAATAAAAACAGCTTAAGCAAACATTTTAAATACTTTATAAATTGAAAAGAGTTAGAGGTTTTTTTGTTTTTTTTTAAAGATTAAAATGATAAAGATGTTACCATAAAACAGCTTAAGCAAATACATTTGGATAACGTTTAAAATGTTCCTTAATATTAAGTTTAAATTATTAACATCATTTATTTCTTGAATACTGTTGAGAAGGCCATTCCACACTGTTATTGCTGTTTAAAAAGGTAGAATGGCCTATACCTTTACTAATCTGAGGGACTCTGAAATTATTAACACTAAAACACTGAAATTTATTTATTTATTAGGTGAAATTTTAAATAATATATCCCACTCCTTGCTTTAAAGCGCATAGAGTTATTTTACATTATGCGCTATATAAGTTGATTACATTAAGTAAGTTCATTTAGGTTCCTCCTAATTCTTCGACAAGTTCAGCAAGGTCTATTCTTCCTGCTTTATTTAAAGCTGTGCTTAAAATATCTACTCTGTTGTCCCCACGTTTTGTTGCCTTCTTCCACTCGAGCAACATCGCTATTGTCTGCTCTTCCATGTCGCCTGGATGTTTTGCAGAGATTTTCTCCTGTTTTACGTACGGAACACCAAGGAAAGTGGCTAATCTTCGCCAGTCGTTACCCAATTCTTCCCCCAGGTCTCGGAACACAACTTCATTCAAGGGACAATTATCTGAATGTAAATTATACAAACACATGGTTACTTATTTTGTCATACCGTAGGCCTACATTGATGAGCAACATTGAGAGAAGATCGTGTAAAACCTGAATACAATTTATCTCATTTACAAGTAAACGCTCGAGAAATTCGTGTTTTTGGCAAAGGCCTACTACAATAATGCAAGCAAAATGCCGAAATAGAAGGTTCATAACAGATTCTATATACATTTGAATATTGATTAAATGCAGGGCGAGCGGAACGTTTTTCGGGGGCCCCACTTATAAGAGGCGCGTAACAGGGGTCTTGGGTCGGGGGTAGGGGGGAAAAGGTAATAATTTTCGCGGTTAGTAATTTATGACTTGGTACCCCCCCCCCTCCATATAGAAAACAATACGGCATAGGGTTTATTTTATTATTAATATAGGCCACACACGTGTGTTTGAAACTAAATATAAGCATTTTCATCGTGGTTTTATTTATTACAATCATAGGCCTATTCTTTACATTATCATTACACATGAAAAGGTAAAACGATCTATCTTAAATTTTCTTTCTCAAGTTTGGGACTATTATGTTTTTAAATAACTTAGAAGGTAAAGGAGGGCAAGCACAAGCTTTAACCTTAACAAATGCGAAATTAACGAAAAATTTTTTTTTTTTAAATTCTAATTTCGTTGGAATTGATCCAAACTCCATAGAATGTGCTATTTTTAGAGGAAATTGACCTACCTCAACAAGAAATGCTCTTATGTTATATATGGCCACACTCGTTTTTTTAAACTGAATATAAGCATTTTCCTTATGGCTTTATGTATTACAAACATATTCTTTCAACATCATTACACATTAAGGCCCCTCTTTTAGGTAAAACGATCTATCTTAAATTTTCTTTCTTGAGTTTGGGACTATGTGTTATAACTTAGAAGGCAAAGGAGAGCAAGCACAAGCTTTAACATTAAAAAATGCGCGCAAAGCGCGCGAAAATTTTTTTTTTTTTTTTCAATTCTAATTTCGTCGGAATTGATCAAAACTCCCTAAAATGTGCAATTTTTAGAGGAGATTGGCCTACCTCAACAAAATATGCGATTTAAAATTTGAGATTTTCAGGCACTTTCCTGGGTGAAAAGGGCATTCAATGGGGAAAGATTTTCCACAGATGGATATTTTCCCCTAGTCCCCCGGTGGTTACGCCACTGCGGAGAATATCCGGTGGCTTAGATCAAATGCGCTATGGACACTTTTTGAAGTGGAGAAGGGGTTGCAGGCCGGGGTATTGTGATATCTGTTCATTATATCTTCCTTTTTATTCTTGTCTTTATTTT